AGGGCTGAGGATGAACCACAACCAAGGTACGGGCCCCTGACAGGAATTAAACCTGGGACTCAGTGGTCTGTGGGCCAACGGAGCCAAATCGGCCAGGGTGAACTAGTGAGGTTTTTAATTTGTTCTCTCAAAGAGGAAAAGGCATATGCAAATTCTCACTGGAAATCTCTAGGATTGAGCATAGGTTATCAGCATGGCCTTGTTCTCTCACACAAGAATATCTACAATGTAGGTAGATATTCTTTCCTGTGATAATGATCTCTCTATTGCAGAGTATTATCTGATTGGACCTAAACTGTTAGCTGATTCATTGACAAAAGATCCTAAAGAGGCATTTGGTTGTAAATGATCTCTGGTCAAAACCCATCAAAGGCCAATTTAAAGCATTTCAGATATATTTTCAGTGTGGAATATTTTTCCATAGCAAAATGAACAGTCTACAATTATGGAAAAAGGTAAAATTCTAATGATTTTATTTCAAAGTGAAGAGAAGCAGAAGTACAGGCAATTGGAACCACTTTACCAAATTTCTTCCGGGATTTCCTACAACAGGAAGGTAAACTAACTCCATTTCAGGCATGAGTTTTTTATTTTCTTCGTAATTGTCTATCCAGAATAAACCCAAAGGAAGTCTGAAGAGACTCTATAAAAAGGCTATAAACTATAACAGAATTTACTGATAGCAATTTGGAGTCATCGAACTTGTCAAAGATTCTGAAATTCTTTTATTTCTTACTCTATAAAGCTTGTCCTTCCTTTTCAGTCCTCAAGCCTTCCTTCTCTGTCCTCATTTCTGTTCTCTCCTTGCCAGTCTCACCTTCTCCAATAACTCCTTCTCCTTATTACTGTCAAACCTCTATTATATAGTTCTCTGATGCCAGAAGTGAAAACTCCAGAACTGGGGGTTCTGAGGAGAAAACACTCTTCACAATGCTTTCTTTGCACTGGCCCTCATTCCAGGCGTAGTCTCATGCTCACACTTATGGGCACACTGCCTCCACCCAGAAGACTTCACGCTCCACTCCCCTGCCCTGATACACTGGATTTTAAAAGCAGACTTCGAAGTCCCACCAGTTTTCAAAATCCACCTCCCCATCTTCTAAACTACTCTCTAGACGATTAATTCCGATTCCTAGTGCCCTCTTTCTTCTCCAGCACCCTTATAGTCTGCATGATTCTGTTTAATTGCACTTTCTCAATATAAATATCTAGTTGACTACTAACGCCAAATAAACTGGGGTGCATTCACTAGCAGTGTGATCTGAAGTCTTTTCTCTAAGCCTCAGTTCCCTCAGCTATAAAAATGGGGATAGTAAGAGTTCAGTACCTTTGCTTACAGGGTCATTAGAGAATTAGGTGAGGTAATTCATGCAAAATGCTAGTACAGCATGAACATGCAGTAAATATTAGTCATTTTCATTGTCAGCTGGCATATTCTAGCTTTCTGTTTGCTTGTATACCTTAAAAGCCCAGCAGGATTCTAGGCTCTTGAGGGCTGACACTACATTTCACAGATTTTTAATAAATATCCTTATAGAATTTATGACTAAATGACACAGGGCTAAGTAATGAGGCTACGGGGCCAATGGTAGCAAGCTGATGCACAGAACTAGTCCAGGGTCAGGAATATTAACTTCACTGCATATTTACAGAATGCCTCATTATGGGCCAGCTATTACTTAGAAGGTTGCAATAATTTGCAGAGTAGACCATGAATATCTCACCCCAGGAAGTACCCAGATTTACCTAATAAATACAGAAGCTGTACAGTAACAGATAGTCAGCAATGGCCAGAGAGTCTTCCTCCATGTGGCACAGAAAGGCTCGACTGTGGGTTATGACCTGAGGAGGGGAGCTATCACAGCAGATGTTTATGCAGAAAGTAAGTACTTTTTGCCCTGGCCGGTTTGTCTCAGCGGTTAGAGCATCAGCCTGCAGATCAAAGGGTCTTGGGTTCGATTCCTGGTCAAGGGCATGTACCTGGGTTGCAGGTTCGATCCCCAGCCCTGGTCGGAGTCATGCAGGAGGCAGCCAATTGATGTGTCTCTCTCACATTGATGCTTCTCATTGTCTCCTCCTCCTCCCTCCCTTCCACTCTATCTAAAAATCAATGGAAAAATATCCTCCAGTGAGGATTAACAACAACAAAAAAGAAAGTACTTTTCTGGGAGGCAGTAACATTATCACTGACTATATAACCTCTAAGTGTCTGTGAGATATTTCGACTGCCATTCTCCTAAAACCTGCATGAAAATTTGTAAGGCAGGGAGATGAGCAAAGTTTGTTTTAAGCAACATAAAATATTTAATGTGCACTCTTTCAATTCTCTATTTCATGCAACCCACTACCAACTAAAGAAAAATCCTTGTGTGTAAACTTACATGAAAGAGAAACAAGAATGCCTTGTAAACTCTATCATTTCTAGCACACAGGACCAATCAAGGATTTGTTGTTCATCTTTACTAAGTAAAACTGTGGAACAGCTAAGTCAATGGTCCTATGACTTGAAGACAGACTTCTCTGATGTTATGATGAAATTTCAATTGAGGAATTATTTCATCCATTCATTCAAAAAATATTTATGGAGCACTTACAATCGCTAGGACAGCGCAGCAAATAAAAGACAAAAATACCTGTTCATCAAAAACTCAAAGACACAGACAGCAGTATGGTGGTTATCAGAAGGAAGAGGGGTTAGTGGTGGGGGGAAGTAAAGGGTGTCAAATATAGAGTCATGAGAGATTTCACTTTGGGTGGTGGGCACACAATCTAATATACCGATGATGTATCATAGAATTATACACTTGAAACCTATATAATATTATTAACCAATGTCACCCCCAATAGATTTGTCACCCCCAAAATATTTAATTTAAATAAAGTAAAAATAAAGACCCAAATTTCCTCCTAAAAAACACCTGTTCTTAGGGCATTTACATTCTAGTAGAGGGTACACTGGTAAACAAATGGACAAGTGATTATAAGATATGCAGAGGCTGAGTGGAGATGGGCAAAGGGGAGGGAGAATGGGGACATCTGTAATAGTGTCAACAATAAAAAGAAAGAAAGTGGTTAGAGCGCCAGCCCCCAGACCAGAGAGTCCAGGGTTCGGTTCCCGCTAAGGGGACATACCTCGGCTGCAGCTTGTTCTGGCTGGTTGGGGTTGTGTGGGTGGCAGCCAGTCGATGTATCTCTCTCAGGTGGATGTTTCTCTCTCTCTCTTCCTCCCTCTCTCCCTCCTGCTCTCTCTGAAGATAAATGCAAAAATGTCCTCAGGTGAGGATAAAAAATAATTTTAAAAAATGAAAGAAAGAGAAAGTTATGTGGAATGGTGCCCTGTTGTGGAAAACAAAGCAGGAGGAGACCAGAGAGAGAGAGAGAGAGGTGGAGCTGCAGTCTTACACTGGAGGTTCAGGGGATGCTTCTTTGAAGAAACAGCATTGAAAAAGAGGAATTGGGTCTATGTAAGTACCTGAAGGAGGAGCTTTCCAAGCAAAGGCAACACAAAATGCCATACTTTTATGTAGATATTTAGGGAGGAAAAGAATAAAAGACCCCCTGGGTTGGAGTCCTAGCTCTTTGCCCTTCACCAACTCAGAAACCTTTAGGAAGAAAACTTTACCTCTCTTGAACCTCAGTTTCGTCCTCTGTAATTACGGATAGTACCACATACCTCACAACTATTTCAAGGGGGAAAAGGATGTTTAAGAATGCACTTTACAGCACTTAGGGGCGATTCCCAAGTGTGCGCCCAGAGGGCAGTGGGAAATTTAGTAAAAGCTCCGCTGGCCTCAAGCCATGCCCTAAATAAATAAATCACCAAGCTTGCTTCCTCTAGTGCCCCATGAGGATAATGGTACCTATCTCATCGGCACAAGGGGATCGAGGAATGAGATAAGCCACGTGAACCCAGCGACTGGCACACGAACTCCAGGCGTGAACGACCCATCTCGCGGTCCCTCTAGTGTGCAAGCTACGAGTGTGCAAGGGCTTCCTCCTCTGCTCGGCATGGGACACCCGGGGTGCAACTCTTCAAGGCCAACTCCGTTCGAACACGCTGGACTACAGAAGAGTTTCTCCTCACATCCAGTGTGACACTCTAGCTTCTAAGAAATCAGTTTCCCTCTCTGAAGCCTTCTGAACACGTTCTGGTCCCATTTTAAATGGCCTTGAAATTGAGCTTCCACCAATCGCAGTTTCCCCAGGGCTCTCAACCAGCTCTGGCCGTCTCCTCCTCGGAGCAGCGCCACCTCACTGACCTTGTACGCCAGAGGCCGGCCTTTTATAACGCAGTGATGGCGTCACTCGGAGTCTCGCATGCGCAGAGCTGGCGGCGTGGCCACGCCCAGGCTCTCAGGGAGGCCGAGCCTTTGCGCAGGCGCCGAGCTTTTCCGGAAGAGGTCGGAGTGGGGCTGGGTGAGTGAGGTGCCACAGCATCACAGTGGGTGGGTGCTTGACTTTCCGAGGCTGCGCAGGTGCCGGCAGGGCCAGGGCCGGTGGGGACGATGTTGTTCAGGGGAAGGAGCTGGGGTCATGAGGGAAGTTCATGAGTCCTTTGGGTGTGAGCTGGACCTGGGGTGGTCGGAGGGCTGATGACTGAGAGACCGTGCGGATCTTCGGTTCAAAAGGTGGAATCCGCGGTGGGGTTTGTCTGAAGTGCTGATGGCAGGCCTAACAGAAAAGAAGTTACCAAGCATCAACTGCCCGGGATTTCCTAGACATTGCACTGGAAACTGGGAGGAAGGCAGCGCGGACTGGCCTGCAGTGGTTTTAGCGCAAAATACCGAACTCCTTCCTTGGTGGGGGTAGAGGAGGGGGTGGAGACCCTGCGAGCGATGCTGTCCTCGGTGCTGAAGTCGGGACGTTGGTCCCCGCAGGAGGAAACCCGATGAGGGCAGGGCGGTGTTTGCAATTTGCAGGACCTCTGCGTCCTACACTCAGTACCTGTGCGCTGAAGGAAGAGCTCAATCTCTCCATCAGTGCAGACACTTGGGCGATTAACCATCAGTGTTTCATTTCATAAAATTTAGGAAAGCCAGTGCTTCGTTCCAGGAAGGAATTTCATTCCTGTCTTTCCTCCCTTAGGGCTGGCACCTTCAACTTTTGCACCTAATCAGATGAGTTGCCTTCTGTCTGACCCTAGGGTCTTCAGCCACGGTGAGTTTGCTCATGTGCCATGAAAATGGGCTTCCCAAACTTCCCACATGTGAATTCTGAGCAGGCAGGGTAACGTGAAAGGACCAATGGTGCTTTTCCCCCGTTACACATAAAAAATACTTTGCTGCCCTGGCCCGTTTGGCAAAGCCGTTCGAGCATCGGCCTGTGGACCAAGGAGTCGCACATTCCAGTCCAGTCAAGGGCATGAACTCGCTTGTGGTTCGGTCCCAGCCCTGGTCGGGGTCCTGTGGGAGGCAACCAGTGGATGTGTCTATCTCACATCAATGTTTCTGTCTGTGTCTGTTTGTCTGTGTGTGTGTGTCTCTCTCTCTCTTGCTCACTCTCCACTCCCACTCTGTCTGAAATTTTTTTAAAAATGGAAAAATATCTTTGGGTGAGGCTTTAAAAATAAAAAAAAACTTTTCTATTTGGAAAAGAGATGGTGGGACCCACAATCATCCAATAAAGGAAAGGCCACGAATTTCCAGTCAGTTCTCATACTTTTTGCCTTTCTGTGTGTGTGTGTGTGTGTGTGTGTGTGTGTGCGCATGTGCATGAGGGATGATATTCCTGAGGTGAATTTTACAGAGTAGATATTTTTTCTTTCTGTTGATTCAATAATATGTTTATTAGTCTTAGTACCAGCTGCTTGTTTTGAATTCTGTTTAAGGTTAAAATGTGGCGATAAAAAGAGGAGGAAATGTAAAATGTGTTGAATACTGATTCACAGTATTCTTAGATGCATCTGGAATAAGAAAAACTATGCATTGTAATTAAAATGTTTTAAATGCATTCATTATTTTATACATTATATCTTGAGTTTTATTTTTCTCTTCTGAGAGAACAAATGGGTTGAGGTATTAAAATGATCAAATGTCGCAAAGCTGAGGATGTGGTAGAAGTAACCAAATGTTTTTATTCTTTAGCAGAAAGCTTATAAGGCAGTTTTAACTAAAGATGACTTCCTTGTTTGCTCAAGAAATTCGCCTTTCTAAAAGACATGAAGAAATGTAAGTTCTTTTAATAAGCTAATCTAAATGTATAAATTATACTGACATTAGTGAAACATTGTGTGCACAGGAAGACTTAAAAATCTGAAAGTGTGTCATTTCAATTTTCTGACAAATGAGAGATTTTGGTCTTAGGGAATGTCATTGTCTCTTAAAGAATCACAAAGATTAAAAAGTATACTTATGTTCTGTATGTTTTTACTTTTGTTACTAATACCTAGATAATTTCACCCTTCCTCTCACCCTTTCTAGGCTACACACTGATAATTAATGGACTTCTCTAAACCTCTTACTCTGGGCCAGCTTCATGGGTATGTGATGTGTGTAGCCACAGTCCCTGCACTTGGTTTCATACTCTTGTTGCACTCTTGAAATTCCTGATACTTCTTTTTTCAATGTTTTTTTTTTTTAATTGATTTTTTTTTAGAGAGAGAGGAAGGGAGAGAGAGATAGAGACATCAATGTGAGAGAAAAACATTGATTGGCTGCCTCACACATGCCCCCTACTGGGAATCGAACCTGAAACCTGGGCATGTGCCCTGACCAGGAATTGAGCCAGGACCTCTCAGTTCATGGGATAACGCTCAATCCACTGACCCACACCAGCCGGGCAAATTCCTGATTCTTTTTAACAAGGGGCCTCACATTTTCATTTTGCACCAGGCCCTATAATTACATAGCCAGTCTTTTACTTATAGTATTTGGTATTAACCCTTCTCTACCTCTGACTGTGGGCTCTCATGTTTTCCTTTTCTCTAATTAATTACCAGGCCCTCGTCCTTGGCCTTTTATTATATTTTTACAAATGTTCAAATACCAAATTTTATTTTTATCCTAAATATCATCCCTATCATCCCTATGATACAGGATATCCCTATGATATCGCTGGGATGAACATGAAAACAGTGTTTCTTGAGAATCTCTACAACTAATTGAGAAAGTTAGACTATTATATACACCACTTATGTATTTATCATTTGACATATTTACCTAGTAATCATTTAAAAGCACCAAAACTTGTAAACTGAGCACTGAACCAGTAGGAAACTTTTAAAGTATATTATATGTAACAAAGTAGTTTGATAATTCATGTACAACTTTTTACATCTTTCCTCAATTGCTGTTTTACCTTGTGGTGACTATGCATACATACACACAGCCTCTCACTCATCTACAGAACCATCATCTTGCTCTTGGCAAAGGAGGAAAAAAAATATTTTTATTGCTTCTTCAAACATATGGAAGTTTAGCACAATTCTAAATGTGTAACATGAGCTTCAGGGGTATTGAAGTGTTAAGCAGAAGGTTTCGTATAGCAAGTTATATCGATGTATGTGTGTGTGTGGAGGTATATATAAGCATGTGTACAAAGGGATGTGTATTACAGTTTGCATTTTCACCAAAAATTAAAACATATTTTCAACACTTTAAAATAATTTCAGAAGACCAGAGAGGCTAAAAAAATATAGAAGCATGTACTTATGGTATATATGTTAATAAAAATATTTTTATCCAGGTATAACTTATTGAACTACCTAAGTTTTTCACTGTCTTAATAATTGACATAGTAAGCAGCTTTCAAAATAGGTTGAACTTGAAGTGAAGTACAATTAAGAAATGCATGTTTTATATTGGTCAAGCAATAAAATGTCTCCTTCTAAAGAAATTTTATATATAGTAATCTTCATTTTTTTCTAGACTATCACGAAGATTAAAGTTACTTCAACAAATGAAGAGTAAATTTGGAGATCAAAACAAGGAAAAGGCCTCTCAGATTCAAGCAGCTGAGACTGCTTTTAAAAGGAACCTTAGTCTTTTAAAGGTAAGTTTCCATGACTTGAGTATAGAGATTTTTCCCACCCCTGCAAAAGGTTTCAAGTGAATTCCATAATTTTGATTTATATAATGTCTTTGTTGTGAGTAATAAATGAAGCATTGTCTATTCTTTAGGCCTATGTTAGTTACTAAGGAGCATATGTATTCTCATTTTTTTAATGAAAAAAACTAAAGTTTGCTTAAGCTAAATGTTCTCAACCAGAAAAATCAGTGACTACAGAAAGAATTTTAAGGTCATCTTTTGTGCAATAAGTAATAAATACAAGATGTAGCTTTCCATCTTTCATCTTTTCTTTGTAGGGAGATCTTAAAATACTATAAAGTACCTATAATGTATTTAGATCCACCTCAAAACTATTTAACATCATAAAAACAAGAACAATTTGATTTTGCCTTAGTGGAGCCACAGTCAACACAGAGAATTCATAGAACAGATTTTCAAGATCCCTTTTGATGATGATGGAGGGGGCGGTCAAAGTGTGTAATTACGCAGGGCCTCACCATTTGGCCAATGTGCCCACTTGGAGTAAAATCATATGTGTAACATTTTTGGCTGCTTGCTATACTTTGCTTCCAGAATTGTATGGCTTCATCCATAATTAAAACCCTAAAAGTTTGCTTCCAGTCAAGCTTCCAAGAGATCCTATGACTAAAACATTTGGTAGTAAGGCTATATTATTTAAGTTATAAAGCAGTGTTTTCAGTTTTTATTGTTAAATATTTTCATCGATAGGCATGATATAGCTATCTTCTGTCCTCACTAGAGGATAAAGGAAGAGGAACATTCAGTTATCTTCTCAGCTTCTGGCAGTTTGAGCCACAGTAATTTAAGTCACAGCCATAGTGCTACCAAAGCATTCTATATTGCCATATGTCTTACTTGCCCAATGGTGTTTGCAATGTTTATTTTTAAATGGAAATATATAGGATAATCTGGAATTTGCTGTGAAAAGTCAGAAAAACTAGATTAGAAGGCTGAAAGGCTTGGTTGCCACCTCCAGCAAGTGCAGGTAATAGTTGGTTTCCAAGTCTCTTTCAATGAGCAAGTATTTAATGAATGTCCAGAGGGTCCTTACTATTTAGCTAGTTCTGGTTAGAAAGTGAGGACAACAAAATAAATATAAACCAGAGTTTGCTCAAGTAGCTAACAGGCTTAATTGATAATGTAAGGTTGTCACACACAAAATATGAGACTTTATATGATCAAATATTAAGTTATGTGGACTACTCAATACTCATGTTCTTGGAGAAAAGGTAAAAAAAACTTTGAGAGCTGGAATCTAAGAGGTCTCAGAGGAAGCTAAGCTGGAGCTGTGTTTGAACAGGCAGAAGACAACGCATTCCTCTGGATGGTTGCAGATGAGCCAACAGCAGAAAAATGAGTAGCCCTATTAATGTTCCCGGGACCATGAACTAACTAGCTTGGAAACCGTCAGGGGAAAAGGCTGGATATGTGTTGTGAGACCAAATGAGTAAGATGAGACTTGATATGTAGAGATAATATTGTACTGAAAGTGTTTGAGCAAAAGAAAAATACTTATGTAAGAAACATATGACTAGGTATTTAAGGACTCATTTGCTATTTAGATGCAAAGTGATTTCAGGAATGGAGAGATTGGATCTAATAGCTATAAAATAACTGTAATATCTAGAAGGAAAATAATGAACCACTCCATAGTCATCAGAAACCAGCATGGTATGGTATTTCCCCTGGTTATCAAAGTAATATAATCTCACTGCAAAAAAATTGACAGAGCAAAGAAGATGAAATAACTTCCTTATCCTGCCCATTTGGGAACTAATGTATTTTTGCATATTTCCTCACAGTCTTCTCACAAACACTTATTGAGCACCTGTTACATCCCTGATTCAGATACTGTCTCTTCCCTGTCTTTGTTTTACATATTTTGAGTAATTGTGTATACAATTTTTTATCCTGTGTTCTCTCGTATTTTTTTAACTTTGAAATAATTTTAATGACTCTATAATAGAAATCATTGTAAAAGTAAAATAAATAGGACTTGACTACAGAATTCTAGTTGGGAGAGACTTTTAAAAGCATGCAGATTAGATTAGATCATCATCTAAACGTTTTCAATGTTTTTTAGCATAGGAACATTTCCAAAGATGTAAAACATAAAAATGGACAGCTTTGGTCCACAGCCCCACCCATTTAGCCCTCTGCCTGACCTGCTTGGCTCTAAGGAACTATGAAAACCACTAATCTGCTCTAAGGCCTTAATTTAGAGGTGAGGAAACCAAAGTAACTACTCATAATACCCCTTGTCAAGAATAGGTTAAGTAACATCAGGATATATACTTAGTGCAGAGGGTGCTTCAGAAATAATTGCAGTAAAACTTGGAAGCATTCCTATAAAGACAGTAGTAACAAGATAAGGATGACCTGTATCACCATCCATTATTTGATCTTATTTAGATGTTCTGGCCAATATAATAAACGCTAAAAGGGAATGAGCTTTAACTTTTGAAAAGGAAGGTATAGCACCAGCAGTTTAAATCAGTGTGGTTATATACTAAGAAAAGCCAAAATTGTTTTAAAACTAATATATTATGAGTTGAGCAAAATTAATGGATTAAAGGTAAACATATAAAATAATAGCAATCTGCCCTGGCCGGTTTGGCTCAGCGGTTGGAGCATCAGCCTGCGGTCTGGAGAGACCCGGGTTTGGTTCCCGCTAAGGGCAAGTACCTCAGTTGCAGTTTGTCCCCGGCCCTGGTTGGTCGTGCGGGTGGCAGCCACTCGATGTGTCCCTTCACATCGATGTTTCTCTCCTCTCTCTCTGTTCCTCTCTCTCCCTCCCACTCTACCTGAACAAAAAATGGAAAAATGTCCTTGGGTGAGGATAAAAAAAATTAAAAATAATAATAATAATAAAATAATAGCAATCCTATAGCTACAGCTGGAAAATATAAGAAATAACTTTCACATTAGCAATAAAATTATAAAATATTTGGGAATGCTCTCAACAAGGAGTATACATGATTTGTATAAAAAGAGTTATTACGTGCCTTAATCCTGACTAGGGAGTATTGTTTCTCTTCTTCTTTTTTTATATTCATATATATAGTAACATGACATATCTATGTACAACATGGCAGGGACAGTTGAGGAAACTATACAGTGTTGTTCGGTATTATCCCCTTCCCACATAGACTTTAGACTAAGGAAGACAGCATGAGGAAATGGAGCAGGAAACACAAAATTATATACAATTACAAGTGACAGTCAAGGAGTTTGGGAGCCAAGGAATCCAGGGATCCTGCTCTCTCCATCCCTTCCTCACCATCGTGTTCCTATCCAAACTGAATGACAGCCTGGAAAGCGAATGGCCGGTCAGGAGAGAAGTATATACAACCCCATCCCCGCACATGCACATCACCCAGTTCTTCAGTCATTCTCACTGGGCTGAATGTTTGGCCCGATCAGAATTTGTGAGAGGGCAAGAGGATTACAGAGTCCTCCTCTCCTGAACAGTTAGTTCTCACCCTGACCCTCTGTCGGAACTAGCAGGTTGCCTTCAGTAAGATTCAGGCCAAGCTAGGAACTAGATTGAAGACGCTGGCCACCTGCAACCCCTCTCCTCCACCTGCTGTTGAATCAGCATTGCTGCTTCTCACCACACAGGAGCTGGGTTACTGAGCTCCAGGAGGCAGAGATTTCCGTGTTCCTTCTCTCTCCTTAACCACCTTCCCCAGCTTTCCCCAGTGTGAATTATCTCCTAACAACCTGCTACTCCAGCCCTGCTGTAGTTCTAAGCCCCAGAGGCTAGCTCAGTTCATCCCTTTTTCTCGTCTCCCTAACAATACAACTGGCATCTGATTACATCTGAAACGTGGGACTGCACATGTGCACGACTGAGCCTGTTTCCTCGGGCCCACAGCTCAGCTGCCGGAGCAGCCTTCTTAGCAGCAAAGGCACAGGCTGTGCGCCAGGGAAGTGGGTTGGGGCAGAGGCAAGAGCTTCCTTGGCTGGCTTAGAATTTTTTTCTTGACCCTATGACCATGATAATTATGAGGCTCTCTTGCCTGAATTCATAACCCCCCCAAATCTCCACTTTCTCTTTCCCTACATAGTCTTCAAATGGTTCCCCTGTGTAGGCTGCTTACCCATGGGCCTTCCTCATTAGTTTTACAATAAATAGCAGAGTTTTCAGCAGTTAGTTACAGAATTTAAAAATCAGAATCAATCTTATCCATCCATATGCAACTCTATTTTATAGATGAGGAAACAAGAAATCCTGAGAAGTTAAATGACTTGACCAAGGTTACATATTACTTCTACGTAGAACTAGACCCAAACTCAGATATCTCGACTCCTAAACCAGTGCTTCTTCCACTATCCCATGATACTTTTAAAAGCAACATGCTGGGAGAGAGAGACAAGTTGCCCATTTATATAATGTTTCGCAATCTTTACATTAAGAGCCAGGGCAAACTGTAAGAAACACTGACTAAGGGAGGTTAAGTGGGCATTATAGTTTTAGGCAAGCAAATCAGTTTTTCTTTTTGAGGATTCTCTAAACCTGCCATAATGGAAACATGAAGCAATAGCAGCCTAAGGGACAAAACACTTAGAAGCACAGAAAATAGATCTCATTCAATCTACCTTTCCCAACAATGTCAGGTTAGCCTTGGATGTTAAACCTGCCACATTCTTCCCAAGGCTTAGCCTAACCAATTTTGAGATATTCTCTTCCAAAAAAGGAAGTCATGTCTCCCCAGTTTCTCGTACAGAAGAAAGAAAAGAGTCTGCAGTATCACCCGATCGTAGTCTCGTACTTCTGGGCCCCTATCTGGGCTACAGTAAGGGTGTGGAAATCTCAATTTAACGAAAGAAATGAACTCAGAGCCTCTCTTCAACACACATTGCCTTCTCAGCAGCCCCCAGCTGAATCGCAGTCATTGCTGGCTAGCAGGCCGAGAAGGTCTCTAACTAGGTGCCCGTTCCATCCCTGCCGATGACATATAAACGTCCAGTGGGTGAGGAAGGGGAGCAGAGGGGCCCTGGTTACCCTGCAAGCTTGCTGGTGACAATCGAGAACTTCCTCTGGGGCAGATCTTGTGGGGTGGGGGGTGGTCACCAGGCACCAGGCTCCTGTCTGGTCCTGCACGTGGCAGCTGCTTATTCGTCATCTTGCTTAGGCCATGTAGTCTCCTGAGTCAGAGCACTTTTGCCCTTTCCGGAGTCTCTTCGTGAGGAAGTCGGAGCCAACGGGCTTCTGTCCTAGGCGTGTATCTGGCCTTCGCCTTGCCTCTCAGCTCTCAGGGAGAACACCTTCTCTCCCCTGCGTGTGCTGTTTCTCCTCGCCCGCCCCCCCCGGAGGGCTCTCCTCTCCTTGTTTCCGAGCATGGCGGGACGGGATTGTGAGTGTAGGGGGCCTGGGAAGTCAAACGGAGAAGGAAGGGGGATGGGAAATGGGGACAACCTGAGCTGCTCCTTCGCTCCTGTCACAAGAGTATTGTTTTTCTAAAGTCACTTGTCACGAAGTTATTTTTAGATTTAATAAAATCCCAACAAAATGTGTATCAAACAATAAAATTTCTCTAAATGCATTTTCAAAAATAGATAAGCAAGCATATCAAAGAATATTTTTAAAAGAGGAGCAATAAGAGACTAATTCCATCAAAGATTCAAACAAAAGAATGAACATAAATATAAATAGTGAAGAGAACTCAGTGAGGGTTTCATCAGTAAATACTGTAACAGATAGTATACTTTGAAAACAGGCTGAATGATTTCTTCCTGTTGGTAGTAATAAAATGAAATTTATCTGCCTTTTAAAAACAGAAGCATAACTGGATGGATTTGTAAGAGAAAGAGATTTTGTTTAATTAATATTTCCATAATATAAACTGTCATCTCTCCCAACTTTATCTTCACAAAACTTAGTTTTCCCCAGAAAGGGCCGCTCTGTGGCAGTGAACGCATCTGGCAGGAAGGCGGGCGGACGCTCCGAGGCGAGAAGGAACGGGAGTGCGCGACAGCGGGCTAGCGGGGCCTGGGGGGCTTCCGTGGAGGCTGTCCCGGTGGGGGCTGTCCCCCAGACCTTCACCAGGCACTTGACAGTTAGAGCCTTCCACAGACTGCCTGCCACCCAGGACGGCCAGGGACTCACAGGCCCACCTCGGTCCTCTTTCCTCCTCACACCTCCCACTTCCTCCAGCGCAATGAAAATCAAGTCCAATGAACGCTTGTGTTCCTCGCACCAGTGACCCTGACCCGCATGCTTTAGTGACTTCATTTTTCTGCCCCAGAAATTGCACCTCCAGCAGACAAAAAGATTAAACCCAGCCCAGCCACAGCTGGGTTCATGCTATACATTTTATAGGGAGATACAGGTTGCTGGCTTGGGAGGGAGGGCGCTGCAGGGAGGGGACGATCTCAGTCCGGGAGTTTCTCGGTCAGATCGGGTTTCACCTTTCCTAATCAAGAGTCACCACATAGCTTACACCATCATACACACTGGAAACTGTTTTAACTGCCGTGCAAAATGTCAGACCTATGTAGAAGAGGATTAGAAGGATGTACTTCCGTGTGCTTATCACTCAGAGTCAGTGATTATCAAACACAGCCAGTCATGCTTCATCCGTACCCCTCCAGCCCCAGCCCCTCAGGTTATTTTGAAGCTAATCTTCAATGACGCATTGTTTCATCTGTTCAGCTTATTATCTCTACATTATTTCAGTGATTACCATGAAAAGAGGATTATTTTAAGCAAAATCACAATAACATTATCGATCTAAGAAATTTACAGTAATTCCTCAAATATCCAGTCTGGATTCAAATTTCCCTGATTAACTTTTAAGAGTGTTCTTACATTTGTTTGAATCAGGATCCAAGTAAAATCCATCACTGCAGGGACAACAGTGTGGTGACTGTGGGGGGAGGGGAGGGGAGTGGTGGGGATGGAAGCGGGTATGGGGGGGATGATGGGAAAATGAAATTAAATTTAAAAAATAAAGTCTAGCCCTGCTTAAAAACAGAAATAAAGTCCAATTTGTAGTTGACTGGAGTCCTAAATTTCTAAAAGCCCCCTTTTAATTTCTTTGTTGAAGGCATTGGATTCTTGTCCTGTAGCTTCCCAGCATCCAGGTATTGCTGGCGACATTGCTGAGGCATCACTGGGTGTCCTCTGATCCCCAGGATTCCTGAGCTGTGCTGTGCAACAGAACAGACGAGCCACGTGTGTACTTTTAAATTTCCTAGCGAACCCGTCCTACAACCACATGGAATGAATGGTGTTATTAAATTAGCCCCATCACACATATAAAGTGCCTCTGTGAGTGTGACTGCTGCTCCTTTCCTTCCAGCAGCAAGCAGTCACAGCCTCTGTTCAGTCAGGCTAAGCGAGTCCTGCTTCATCCTCTGACCGGGGTATCGGTTCTTTTTAAAATCTAGGTAAGCACATAATTAAAGTAGTTTTTAGCAAAACCAATCAATTCCATGTTCAATATGGACTGAAGTAAAATGAGAGATAGTCGGGGCGTAAGTCGAAGTAGGTATTTGTTGGGAATGATGTGGAAAGACTAGAGGAGACATCCCCAAGCTTTGACCTTTTAAAAGGCAGGGAATGATAAGAGTTGAAGATACAGGGTATCTGGGTGAACAGGATTCCCACTATTATACATTCAGTAGAAGATGATGAGTTTGGTTTTGTTAGGGTGAGAAATAAGGTCTTGGAAGAAAAGTTATCCATCCCTCTACATGAAGAGTGGAAGCCAGAGGAGACGATTTTAGAGGGAGGAAAAAGTAAAGAGAAGACAACAGATGTCACAGATCTTAAGAAAGCCCACACTCAGGATAAGAGAGAAGGAAGAAGCCTGCTAGAGGAAAGGCAAGGAGTCAGAGAGGTAAGCAAGACTTCTAAGAACGTGAAACCTCACTTCAGGAAGAAGTCCTCTGGAGGGTGACAGTCCCTTGTGGAAATGCTGCAGAGGTGTCAGGCAAGTCACTAACTCAGGCCCCATGTCCCTGTACGTACCTGCTCTTCTGTAAGAGATACTCAGCATCCTTATTTTCTGATCTTTCAGAAAAGAGTTTATAATCCTGTCTATAGGTACTAGTGACACCCAGATCTACCATTAACAATAACTTTATAACTGTTCTTAGAATAATGGCATAATTAGGGTTGTGATTTTATTCTATTTGTTTTATAAGAGTAGAGATTAATTTTTCCAGGACTTCATAAAATCTCAACGTAATCACAGATGACTTAGTGTTCTCTACCTGCTGTGGCATCAGCATCAAAAGCTCTTTAGCACATGTCTTAGATGTAAACTTCGGGGATGGGGCCGACATGCTAATAGATGAGATCTTTTAATCCCTAAATTGACGTTTTTCCCCTTCAAATCACCTTCCTCTAGACAGCAGGTGCATTAATGGCTGTGCAACTTTGGGGAGTCCCTTTAGGGAATTTCCTGTTTTTCCCTTTTACATTTCACACCCATTCCGTGCTCCCCGCCGCTGCCATCTGCTACCTCTTTTCTCCTGTTCAGCATTGGCTTCTTCACACCCCACTCCCACGCCCTTCTCCATCTCCCTCCGTCTGTCCAACAGCCCTGTACTTACATTGCTCCAATGCTTGTACATGGATCAAAGAACTTTCTTTTTTTCTATCAAATCACTAAGCTCATAGGAGAGACAGCATTTACACAGCCTCCAACCCAGACCTCTGTGAGCCTGACAAACATGAGCAAGCACAAGGAAACACAGGTGCTCACGGAGCATTGATCTAAACAGAACTCAGATGTTCGGAATGACGTGGAGGTCCCACACTCCTGGGCATGAATGCATACACGCATCAAGGTAAAGTCTTTCCCAGGGTGGGAATTCAGTTTAGTTACACTTGTGTTGCTACAATCATAAGAGAAAATACACACATATACAAGTAAAGCTCCAAATTAAAGCACAGTGCTGGAATGTCATCAGCTGAAGGATATGCTACCTAGCCATAAAGCCTGCCATCGAGATTACTGCAGAAATCTACATAGTATAGTAAAAAGGTTCTGACTGAGGCACCTTACTGACCTTTTAAATAGGAGTATTTGCATAAATATAAAATTTTATAAAACTGGAATATTGAACAAATAAAATGTGTCATTAATATATCATCTACATGACCCAGATGGACTCGATCTCTACTTTTAAGGTTAGCACAGTGTGGGTCTTGTGATCTGACTGTTTTTGTATCTGAATATTTGACTATTTTATCCATCTGGCTGTTTTTAATGATTTTGGAGCTAAGTTGGTGCTCTGAGCAGTTTTAGAAGATGTGGTTGGTTTTAGGTTATTTTGCAAGAATTATTGACGGTATTTAAAATGATGACAGAACTTAGAAGACTCCCCCCCCCACACACACACACACACACATACACACGCCTTTTATTTTAAAATCAAGCCCGGCATTCTGTATCTGAAACTAGTTGGTAAAGTAATGATCAGCTCTCCTATTTCGGGGCCCCTCCGTCAGTGCAAACCGTGTCCGGAGGTAGAGATCTGGGATAGCTATCGCAGGTACCATTTGTGCGTGCTATGGAGATACATTTTGTTTTAAAATGCTGATGTCTGTTACAGGATATAGAAGCAGCAGAAAAGTCTCTGCAGACCTGCATTCACCCACTTCCACCGCCTGAGGTGGTTTCTCTTGAGGTGAGAATCTTAAGGAACAAAGAGGTAAAGGAGGAGACCCTGTCATTGAAATCAACTGGTGGTTACATGTGTGTATTTCCAAAATGTATTAATTCAACTAAAACAAACAAGATGTGTCTGATCTTTGTATGTCCACAGAGCCAATAACTCGCACATAGTAGGTAATTGATAATTACCTTGATTTAAAAAAAAGTTTTATCAAGTGAAAATTTTATAAAGATCCTGTGTCTTTTCTCCGAGTCCCTTAGAAACAACTACCCTGTTAAACGCTGACAGGCAGTGTGCACTACGGCGGTGACAGTGCTGACCCAAGTGCTCTTCCTGTTGGACGATGGTGCAGCCCTTCACCGATGCTATGGAAATGCACTTTATGCAGCATAGTGTGGCTTTTGTCTGTTTTATTTTGCTCAGTTCAAGAACAGATTGGGAAGATGGTTGGCAAAAATAAACCATATTTGGCATATGAATGTATTTTTGATGAAAGGGAATTTACTACATATAGACTAGTTTGATTTGATATTTTTAATGACCTTTTTGAATTACAATTGTGCTTGCTGCCTAACCAGGGATGTGAATAGACTCAAACTGAAATACTGAGAATTTGCCCCCCATTTCTGTGTCATCCAGAGTAATAAGAAAAGCCAGTGATCAAGGAGAGAAAAAACTCTGGTATAAAGTGGTGCCCTGGGCCTGTGCTTTTCTTTGTTGAATTCTGCAGTACCTTACTCTGGCCCGACAAGGCCCACACAGTAGGGGTTAATCTAGCTGTGAATGGTGGAGAGACTCCCAACCACAGGCCTTGGGCATTTTGCTTAGCCAGTCTAGCACAGCAGGAGGACCTTTATTTTAAGTACGAGAGGCTGCTTCTCAGACCACATGCACAGAGGTAGAGATATGTAGAATCCCTCACCATTGTCAACTTTCAGAACCCTGGACCAGTTTAATGCTCAGAAGGAATCATTATGTGTTCTTAATGCTGTCTAACTGGCTGAATTTCCCAAAGTGAGATTGCTAGTGATGATCTAATACAAAACGCCCTCCCGTGACATGAAGCTGTGGGTGGGCTACTTGTCTTTGACCTCCTTAGGAGAGTCACCCAAGAAACCATTGACAGTCCATACGATGATGTTGCATGAGCTTCTTCTATACCTTATAGACTGCTAGAGGCAGGCCAATAACACACCACCCCAACTTCCAAGCTATTTGAATTAAAAAATGGTGAGGTAATCTTGATATTTTCTCATTATACAAAAGGAAAGAAATTAAAATTTGGCATATCAAGTACTTTGTTAAAAGATACAGTGGATGCATTTTTTTTTTTAATGTTTTCTCCAAACAATTAAGGGGTCAATTCACGTGAATCCTATACTATAACATACTAGTTATATTAAGTTCCTGATTTCACCCCAGGTCAAATTTTTTATGTTAATTTAAAGCAGTTCATGTTTAATCATTTTTTGGTAATAATTTTGGTGTGGGTAATCACTTGGTATGGGATATGGAACCTGAAACAGAAACATTTAATGACTGAAGCCATAAATGATAATACGGGTAATAATCACAAGACTGGCCACAAGAGGGCGTGCAAAATCACAATAAAATTCTGAAACCTGTAATTCTGCCAGGCTCTGGTTTTACTGAGAAATTTGAAAATTAACACTAGTAAGTAGCCAGATTTTTTTCTAAAATTAACATAAAATATTCTGTAGAGGAAGTGCATTCTACATATATGTGTGTGTATGTGTGTGTGTGTGTGTATACGCACACACATTTAAGTGAATAAACATTTAGACTATTATGAAGAGCCAAGTTCAATTGCTTGATAAGTTTTTTTACTTTTGCATGTTTTTTTTCTAGACTCTTTACTGGGCATCAGTAGAAGACTATCTTCCCAAATGGGAACAGTTTCTTTTAGGAAGAGCACCACATCCTATTGCTGTTGAAACTCAAAATGAAGCAGAAAATACCATTGGAAACAAGGCACAGTGATAACTTCTTCACGTACTAGTTCAAAAATGTGTTTAGTAAAGATGAGTATTAGAGAATATGCAGGTCGCTGTGGGAACTTTAAAAATTAAATATATTCTTATTGCTCCATTACCTCCTCAGTGACAAAGACACGAGAATCTACTGGCAAGTCTCAGGTTATCCCTTATAAACCTACTACTATCTCAAGGTCAGGAATATTTTCTACCAAGCCCATGCAAGTATTATAAACTAATATTGAAAGGTGAACTGTTTATTAAATAAATTGCTAAACAAGTTTTGTGTGTGTCATTTTTAAAAATATAATTTAGTCATTCTCATCTAACAAGTGAATGCCAGTTGTTAGTTCTGATTTTACATTTCCTAGAATCTTTACTTTTCAGTTTTTTTATTATGGGATGAGGCACAGGATCAAAGTGGTTGTTTGCTCACTATTTTAGTTTCTTTTAACACAAAAAAGACAGTGAGCCCTGGCCGGTTTGGCTCAGCGGTTAGAGCATCGGCCTGTGGTCCTGAGAGATCCGGGTTCGGTTCCCGCTAAGGGCGCGTACCTCGGTTGCAGTTTGTCCCCGGCCCTGGTCGGTCGTGCGGGTGGCAGCCACTCGATGTGTTCCTTTCATATCGATGTTTCTCTCTCTCTCTGTTCTGCTCTCTCCCTCCCACTCTACCTGAACAAAAAATGGGAAAATGTCCTTGGGTGAGGATAAAAAAAAAAAAAAAGACAGTGATATGTAACTGCTTTAGTATAATGATATCAGAAAAAAGAGTCCGAGGATTTTGTTTCTCTGAGATAATCAAACCTAAAAGTTCTGCAGGAAAACAACTAAACTACACAGCGTTTGCTAAGTAGGGAATTTCAGTAGGGCTCAGACTTGGGTCTCCTACAGCTGGACTGGTTATTGGATTTTGACTTGTCAACTGTGAGTGCAAATACTCCTCTCGCATCTTTTCATCTTAAAACAGGCCCTTCCCTCTCCTTTCTATTTTCATTACTTCTGAAACAGCTGTCAGTCAGAGAATTTGGGTCACAACCCTAAACAGCTCTGAGAGTCCTCAGCACACTGCCGCTTGAACACAAAAATCATAACTTTTCTAACTATAGAGGCAGCTCCTGCTAATTAAAGGAGTCTATGCTCTGTTACAATGAAAGATTTTATGTTTCGAACTGGTTTGTGTTTTAAAAGAAGAGAACAGGACAAGCTACGCAAACAGAGCAGATTGAAACGTCCATGTCCATCGTGCTGACCATCTTGGAAACACCCTGCTGAGTGGGTGTTGGTGTGGGTAACAATGACGTTGTTTTCATAATATGCACTGGCAGATTAGCATACTTCTCTGCAGTGTTAACAGTGTGATTAAGGAATAAACAGCTCACAGTGTCAGTCCGATGACAATTTCATCTATAGTGTCACAATACAAAATGTCACAAAATATTAGAACTGTTAATAACTATCAGGAGTATGGGCTTAAAAGAAGAAAGCCTTGAAAATGGGAAGACAGAGACAGGAAGAAAAAGAAAACTGGCAGAGAGACCAGAAACATTTTATACCTTCTCAAGAATGTTCTGTCACGAAAATAAATTGATCGTTATTTTCCTCTGTTACATTACAGTTTGGTTCCTGGCCATCCAGTTGACTTAACAGGAGAATGCAGTGCTTTTTAACAGCTTTGAACTGGTAAACAGATATAGATGCAGTGGAAAGGAACCCGAGGACGTTTTTCTGTAACAACCTATCTTCCCAGCATATGCACGGGAGAAGGTGAATGACTGTGAGGCTGATTCTTCTCCCGTCAAGTGGAGAAAAGGCTACACATTTGTTGAGATGGTAAAATATTGTGTCAAGCAAGCAGGCACATTCCAAAATTAAACAGTGGTTGATACGTTAACGTCCTCAAATATTTGAGCATGTACTTCCTTTGAGTTCTGTAAATTAAATCACCAGTAGGTTAGATTAAAATACAAAATGAACAGCAATTTAACCATCTCAAAAAAGATTCGGGTTTTTTCCCTCCCCTAAAGTAACTTGCTAAATATTTTTTAAAGAGAGCATAAGTTTGATGTCTTCTGGGTTAGGATTTAGGGCAGAAGGGAAGGTATATCTAGGTGTTAGCTGTATCATTTCTCCTGTTTCTAGTCAATGCCTCAAGAACTCCCAGTGATGACTTCATTCGTGGCCCCCATGGAGCTCTCTCCACCCGTCCCCTCCTTGTAGACTGTAACAGATTGCACCACATGGTGTGTTTTGTGTTTTTCTCTTAAATTCCCATAGGTACCTGGATACCCCGCTAAAGGTCCTTATATTCCTCACGGCAAATTAGCTTTACATAGGCATTTCCAAATGTTGTTTGCTTGAGAGAATAAATACCATATCTAATGTATATTTTTGTACACAATTAGTAGGCATCAGACAAGAAAAAAGAAATGTCAACTACTCACCCCCCCCCATTTAGTCCCCTTCTCATGTTCTATCTACATTGTACCTGCTATTTATTCTTCATGAAAACTATGTCATTTTTTTGTTTAGAATAATGGGTTTTCAAAATAAAAACCATTTCAAGAATTTGTTTCCACAGCCTTTCTTGGATTGTTGCAAATCTATAAATAGCCAAAGCTCATTTTCTGCTGAGACACTTCATGTATATGAAATTATTAAACTGTAAAATGCTAAGAATTAGAAAACTACAGTTTTTTTCCAAACTTAAATGTTACTAAGCACGAAGGAAAAGCCCAATGCTCTGGACACCAGACATCTGGTCTTCCCCATGGTAGGGGGCAGGAAGGGAACGCAAGGCTAATGCACATGGTTTCTCTGCACTGTGTACGAGGTGCTGTGACTTGGCTTAAGACAGAGGAGGATACTCAGCTCTACCATTTCGTCTTCTCTGCCTCCTTCCCCCTTCCCATTAAACAAAAGTAATACTAATAAGGTGGATGTGCGGATATATTTTCAAATCAATATTAAACTTATTTGCAGTTACTTCCTCACTTGTGAGATCATTGGAGAGGCTGAAGGTGAGGTGAGGACGGGGAATGTGAAAAACCAGGGCTGGCAATCACCTGTTTCAGACGAGAGGAAGCTGGTAAGCTTAAACCCACCGTCAGGAGGATTTCATGTACAAAACCAGGTGCACAAGGCCATGGATTTGTCTTTATCTACAAAATATATTAATTTATTTTCCTTCCTTACTCTATTAATTCGTCTTACTCTGAGCCAACTCACATCCTTTTATTTTTGTGAAAGTCTTTTATTTGAAACAAAGTTTTAAATCTCCCTGAAGAGTTTCTTCCCCCTTTTTAAGAGTTGCCCAAATATAATAGCTACATGGCTTAAAACACTCTTCATTTCAATCGTCTATTTTGACCTCTTCCACTTTAATTAGGTTGCTGATCAAAATCTACTCTTCAGAGAGAAAATAACTACATGGTGAGTTCAAACAAGAAAAAAAAATATTTAGAAAATATGGAGAAGGGAAAGAGGAAAGAAATTACTTTTAGAAAGCGTTGGGCTGGAACAACGTGCTCGCTCTCTCGCTGGTGGTGCTTTTGTTTGTTTCTCTTATAACCGAAGGTAATTTGTCCACGTAGGAAATTTAATCCCCTATTGCTAATAAAAGAACCTGTAGCGTGTCCTGGGGCAAACATGGGGCTGTGTCAAACTTCAGCAGTTAGGGTGAGGGTTGGTTTGTGGATCTGACACCAGGCATCATGACCTCCCTTTCCAACTGGAGTTGAGATTTTATCCTGACTAAAATCCAAGACAACAAAAATTACTCCAACAATGACAGAGGCTAAAAAATGCTTCTGGACATCCCCTTACCTCTCAGAGTCAAGTTTCCTTGCTTGCAAGAAAAAGGACCAGGTCCCCTACCTTATAGCAATGTTTTCAAGTTCTTGCTATTGTAAAAACTCTAATCTGTGCCTCAAAGACAAAGATGGAAACTCTGCTAAAGTAGTGTCCAGATCAACTACGATACAAATCAGTAACTAATGGCATTGAGGAGAAACAGTGAAGGGTTCTTATTTTAGAAAGTGATGATTTAGTTTGTTTCTATCCTTTTGGTGATAATTGGGTCATTTAACCTCCCCTATTAAGGTCAAAGCGTTCTTTATTATACCTTCCTAAGTGCAGGTTATCAATGTACAAGGATTTTTTTTTAATGTTTTACACAATTCCACTCTGGGGACAATACAGTCAACTTAGAGGGAGACAAAACTCCATTCATATATTTTTCTCTGGTCCATCTCTATCTCTTTTCACCTCCCAATGCAACATAATTGTTTTTCATACATTATCTCCAACTATTTATAAGACCTATAATACTTACACATATATCTTTGTAGTAGAATTGCTCCACCCAGAAACAAATACTCAGATGTTCAAACTAAGCCAAATCGAGAGCCTTTTAAAGTGCTATTCAGTAAATACGGAGGTGGATACCATTCAACACCACTCATTCATTCAACAGATCTCCCTGACTCTGCCTGCCTACTGTGTCCCAGGCACAGCTCTGAGCACCAAGAAAGTGGCAGTAAACAAAACACCCCCCCAAATCCATGTCTCAGGGAATCTACATTCTGAAGAGGGCAGTGGGTGGAGGGGGTTGAAGGTAGTGATAAACAAAAGGTAGTACTTGATATACTAAATGGTGACAAGATCACATATAGCATGAACATCTAAAATGTCTTCTCAGTGCAACGAAGCCGTTTTCATAGTTTCTCAGAAAACATGACTAGAACAGAGAGACTTTTTGCCCTATTCAAAGATCTTGAGTCGGGGTTTTCCAGTCAAGCAACATTTCCCACTGCCACTAATTTGGACACCGTAAGCCTAATGAATAGTTTATGACAAAGAGTGAACAGATACTGTACATCAACATTCATATCTGCATTAATCACAAGAGCCAGAAGGTGAAAAGAGCCTAGTGGAATGTGCAAACAAAATGTGGTGTAATAAAGAAAGCATGGTAGCTATGCTTCTATCCGACACACTAAACTTTAAGTACAAAACAGTAACATGAGACAAAGAAGGTCATTATACAATGATAAAGGGTTGGTTCATTAAGAAGATATAACAACCAGAAATATATATGTACCCAACAACATAGCACCTAAATATTAAGCAAATACTAACATATCTGAAGGGAGAAGTAGGAAACAATACAATTATAGTAGAGAACTTCAATAGTCCACTTTCAGTAATGGATGGATCAGCCAGGCAGAAAATTATCAAGGAAACACTGGA